AAAAACAGTCGTTCAATCCGATTATTATATTCAATTCTTTATGCTGATCCACGTTTTCTTCCAAATACAATACGTATTTTTTTAAAAGAAAAGAACATTGATGTTTACGATGAAGAAAACAAAAAGCTAACAAGTTCATCGACTACTTTATATAATAATACAACAACATCAATCAATTCACAGTCTTCAAATGATCTTGATATTATTCAAACATATACTTCTCCTGTTCAAGACAATGATATAAATAGTCCTGATCCAACAAATACAATTTTTTTTCAAAAAAAAAGCTGATTTAGATTCAAATATTGTAATTAATATTGATCAGTACGTTCTATTTTCATCAATTATTTTATTCATTTTTTATGATTTATTTTCATTTAGAGCAAGTCAGATTGTCGAAGAATCATCAACTGTGTTAAAAGATTCTCAAAATCAAAATTTAAATTCAAGAAAACGACCTCAACGTGTAGCAAAAGCTGCAGTTGAAAAATCAAAATTATTTATAGACAATATGGATGACAACGAAGAAGATACACAAGAGAATCATCTTCCAAATAAAAAAAGAAAATCAAGCACTTCTTCTCGATCATATAAACGGACACGCCGTGATTGATCTGGATTTCTTCAATAATCATGATAAACATTATTCTCGTTCTTTTGTAAACATCTTCTATAAAACTACCGAGTTATTTAACACTGTCATACACTAAAATATTCTTTTCTCAGTTCTTCAAATGTTTTCATTATATACTAGTAAAACTAGATAAAAAAAATATCGATAACAATAAAGGAATTAGGTCTTACAATTAATATCAAACAAATAATTCATCCAACAGACTAAGTAAGTACAGAACATTTATATGATGTCGAAATGTAGTTACATCAACTCTTAATATTTTACAGTAAAAGAAACTAAACTACACATTAATAGCTCAAACACATTGTATATATATAAATTTTCTAATCAAATGCAGTTTTTATATGAAATCAGCATTCTGATCTCGTGTCAGAAGCAATAAATTTATCTATATAATCAATATCTTCTCTATATTAAGCATTCATGTCAAATTATCTTCGAACACGAAAATCTATTCTATCACTCAAATTTTTGTACTTCATATGTATCGTAACATTCTTTTCGAATTCAGCCATTCCATAGTAATAACCACATTCAAACTCTTTTTTCAATTTCAACACTACTTATCAAGTTCTCAACAACAAATAAAAAAACTACTCTTTTTAATGAAGTACAATTTTCTACTATAACATTATCTCAACGACCGACACACTAAATGCAACACAATCTTAAAAAAAATTCGTTCAACACCTTTGTTCTCTTCAACCAATCAATCTTATCAAGTATCATAACACAAATATTCTTCTTTAGTTTTCAATAGCATTGGAAACAATCTTTCGTTTAAATGTCTTTTTTTCATATCAACTATTCAAAGAAAACCTTCGAATACTAAATTATATCCATTTATCTGCATCATTTTTTATTACTTTGAACTGTATTTTTGTTCTTTCTACTTTAGATCAATAACGTTGGTATATTAGATTTGATCACTTTATTTCAATGGATCATCTTTTATTAATTTAAATTGTATTTTGTTTTCTATTTTAGGTAAACAACTGTGGTATGTTGGACGTGATCAATTCGTCTTAATGGATCTTTTTTTACTACTTTCAATTGTATTTTTCTATTTTAGGTGAACAACTATGATATGTTGGACTTGACCGATTCGCTTTAATCGATCTTTTTGTGTACTCAAAAAGTGGACACACTTCTAGAATCGGTCAGTGTGTCCGGCCGTCCTTATACACGACAACGTTGGAAAGAATAGTCCGATTGAGCTGAAATTTTGTACACAATTCAGTCTCATATAGATCTCTGTCGAGTTCGAAGATAAGCCCAATTGGCCGGGCCATTCCCGAGCTATTGAAAAAATACTGATATTTCCTTATGATTTTTCTATATTTGGGGGGGGGGAAATAATATAATGCCATTCTCGTAAGCAATTTTTCTACCACAATCAAATAAAATTCCACTTATTATATTAGCATTCAATAGAGAATTTTACAAGCTACAAGATGGTACTAAATTATAGGGGTAAACGGGTTGCACACAAGATTGTCCCTGTATAACAGAGTGGGTAAAATATAGAAAACTTATATATGTTGATAATGTGTCAGTGCGATTTTTGTTTGTTTTTCATATTACTGATAACACTTTTTTTAGAGTAAATAGAACTCATCAAGAGCTTGAAAATGATGTAAAATAATAGAGGGTAGATATGCTGCGTTCGATATGTCTTTAGTATCACACTTGTGAAAAACCAAGAAAAAGCCATATACCTTAATAGTGTGTCTGTGTGATATTCGTTTGTTCTCCATAGAGTCAACGTTATTTTTATGTACTCGAAAAGTGAAGTTCACAATACATTGACTTTGATCAATCTATCTAAAAGAATTCATCCCTGAGCGCACTAAGGAACTGCCCCTTAACCCCTGTGGGTGCTCACTTTTTAGTGTACTGAAAAAGTGAGTATATTACTAGAATTCATCAGTGTGTTCGGCCAGCCGTTTACACGATACCTTGCGAAAGGAGAGTCAGATATTGATAAAGTTTTATATACAATTTAGACTCATAAAGATCTCGATCAAGTTCGAAGTTGAGCCTAATTGAACGAGCAATCCCCGAATTATTACAAAAATACTGATATTTTCCTATGACTTCCATATACACTTTTTGCAGTACACATAACTCTCGGATACAATGCGAAGTTTCCACATTTATTTTTATTACTTTAAATTGTATTTTGTTTTCTATTTTAGGTAAACAACTTTGGTATGTTGGACTTAATCAGTTCGTCTTAATGGATCTTTCTTTCATTTGCCGTTGTGTTTGTCATTTAAGGTAATCTCATTTGATATTTTACTTTTGATTATTTCATTA